GTAAAAGTTTAAGGTGATTTCAATATCATGATACAAAAAACAGAGTGTCACTAGACAAATAAACAAAATGGCTGCTGCCCAATTACAACATTCTGATATTAGAATCATTTAGAATTAGAGACAACGGTCCAGGACAAATCTATCAGGGCCAAAACACCATTTTTTGGGAAGGGGCCTCAGCCTTTTTCTTGGGGAAAATATGCGTGATTTTGGGAAAAGGGGTCTCAAATTTAACACAAACTTTTAACAAGTTCTTCAAAATAGAAAAGCAAAAAGCACTGGGAAATACTAATAAGGCTGTAAAAGACCTTAGGGTATGAGCCCCCTAGTGGGCACTATAAGGATCTATAAAATTGACAACATAGGTCAGTTATATACCTTAAAAGACACAAGAATGCAAAATTTAAACAAAGTTTACTGTATGGTTTACGAGTTATGAAGATTTTTCTTAAGTAAAACTTGGCTATTAGAAGGGCTCTTTTTCAGAAATGAGAAACTCTAAATATTCTATTTTATAATCATTATGAAAAAATGTTTTCCTATAGAACATTTCTGAGAAACAAATAATAGCATTCAGCTAACAAATGACCCAGCAAAATTATTGTTTGTTCTCAAAATGTTTGAAATATGTATATAAATGTTACCCTACCCCACCTATTTTAAGTACTTGTTTGATCATTTTTCTACTTGGAGGGCCTTATTCAAAATATCGCTAAAATTTACTCAAATCAGGGGCTGTTTTCAAAGTTTGCATAAATTTTCTTAAAAGTATATTGGTTTCGCTTGTCAAATAGAAAATACTTTTACCGTCTAGTTTTTATTTTATTAGACTTTGAAAATATCAGGTACCATATTTGATAAAAATTTGGCACAATTTAGCCAATAAATACCAATAATAATTTCATAATTAAAATGAAACACTTTTTTCTTCTCAAGAGTGATATGAGAAACACAAATAATGTTCAAAGAAAAAAAAAGAAAGAATAAAAAGTTGTCGCTTATGGGGCCCCTCAGTTACAATGCAGTTGACAGTAGTTCTAGCCTATTTGAGTACTCTTCAAAGTGGAGGTAATGCATTAGGTGGATCATACCTTAATTTAACACCATCATCTAATTTTGTTCTAAATTCTATGGGAAATTTCAAAAGACTGGGGAATTTTCAGGACCAAACTGGGGTAAAAAAGAGGCTAGTTTGGTTGGGAAAGCAGCCTATATTTGGCCTCTACAAAGAAGTTTTTCTTTTGCCCTGTCTATTATTAAAAGGATTATGCACTGTGAGCACAGATTTTAACCATAACCACCCTAAATTTCTTAAATGGACTTTTACATCTTTAAATCTGGACAAAACCATTTATCATTTTTGGGAAATAAATATAGACCGAATACAGAACAGTTCAGATCATAACTTCTGGTGTGCCGGTTGATTTTGGTAAGCAATGGCGGCATCAGTATATACAGTTGCCTCCTGCAATGTTAAAATCTACAGCACCTGTCACAAGAGAAAATTCAAAGTCATTATTGAATGAGAACTCAGTGAATTTAAGCCAACTGATAACCAAATGGCCTTCAAATTCAATTTTATTATTGATACATTTGTACTTTGAAAACATAAAGACTATAAAATCACTAATTGTTAAATCTTTAATAAACTACTTCATAGCAAAAGGACATTGAATATGTTAACCCCCCCCCCAAAAAAAAAAAATCAATTCCTTGATCACACAACCCAGAAAAAAATCTGAACAAGTGACAACATTAATTTTATGATTTTGTCTGTATATTGTCAAGATTGTAATACTTAAAAATGAAAAAAAAAAAACAAACAACAAAAATTCATGTTATTATATATCAACATTAACATTAATCTCCCGGAATGAAACGATGAAAATATATAACAATAAGAAACTGTATCATTATGTAACACTTTTTGTTTGATAGAAAAAAAAAGAACAAGGAAGTTTAGATTTAACCCTGAATTAAGTATATAAACCAAGATTATAAAAGGCAGGTGTCTTTTGGTTCACGGCCGATAATTACATATTTGGTACATATAATCAAGGTTTTCTTTTTCCTAATTCAACGCATGCTTGAATAATGAATGAATAAATTACATAATTTACCCTTATATCTTGCTAAATATCTTAAATAGACTTGCCAACCATTTTAATCTGGACAAAACCATTTACCATTTTAGAGAAAATTTCAAAATATATAATATTATTGACTGAATAGCAAACAGTGAAGATAATAATCAGATAGAATGGTCGCATAGGTAGAATAAGTTGCCACCAGCGAGTTGAATCAAATTTTAACTATCTATGACAGAGTGAATTTCAAGGAAAAATGTTTTCAAAAGATTTAGTTACTTTAGATTCGTACTTAATGGTGTATAAAATATGCAATTAAAATGAAACGATGTGTAAATTTTTCATCAAGTTTTTGGGCTGGTGTTTTAAAGGCAAGACCCTACTGGTTTTGCGACATTGTGCAGTCTATTCTGTTTGTTGTTACCAAGGCAAATGCCAGAAACCTAAGCTCATTTCTGTGAGCATATGCATCTGCAAATAGTTCAAATAGGTCTACTTTTACAAAACTTAATGTCAGCATCAGCTTGCCACGCATTTTGCTACTGTCCTGTTAAAGGGGAAGTTATCACTGTGCAAGTTTGTTTATCAAGTGGGCATTTGGTAGACTGGCTATCACATTGTATTGCAGTGACATATTTGTAACATTTAACCTTTTCAAGACATAGACTTTCCCACTCGATTTGTTGAAGTAACCTGATCATGTTTTGTCAAGATATTAATGTATTCTTACTTATTTTTTACACTTGTATGACTGTCTGTGACATCAGGTTGATAAAAGAGATACTTTGTTTGTTTGTTTGGGTTTAAGTCACACGGACACAGTATAGGTCATTTGGCGACATTCCAGCTTTACTGGTGGAGGAAGACCTCAGGTGCCCTTCCGTGCATTATTTCAGGCATGAACGGGCACCTGAGGAGAACCACTGACGTTCCGTAAGCTAGCTGGATAGCTTCCTCACATGAAAGAATCCAAAGTCCCTGTCCGGATTCAAACCCACAGCGGTGAGGGGCAAGTGGTTTGATAAAAGAGATTTTTCCTACAGATTTAACAAGGGAACTTTTAGGGTTTTTTGTTTTTGTTTTTTTTCTTTTCATATTTGACATATTATAAAACATCATCCTAAATATCTCAGTTTCTTCTCATTTTTAAAACATAAAAAGTTATGAATTAAATAATGAAAGAAACACTTAAAATTGATCTCAAAAAATTGGATGGTTTTACAACATTTACAGCAATTTTGACAAGAAGTTATTTTGGCCTTTTTTTTTTCTTTTACACTGATCCGATGAAGAAAAAAAATGTATCTGAAAAAGATCAAACAATGTCACATGATCAAGTGCAAATATGTCAACCAAAGGTGATATTTTCATCAACATTTTAATGCTCTAATGATGTGTGGTTTTGCAACATCTATAATCAATTCATGATTGAAATTTAAAAACAAAATATTAATTTACAACAAATCAACTTGTCTACAAAAATTAATTTGCATAATTTTATGACTGAAAACTATAGGTGTAGTGAAATTGCAAGTTTAACTTCTTATTGTTTATTTTCTTATTTATCATAATTGCAAGTGTAAATGTAAATTTTCATGAAATTTTGAAAATGTGTTTAAAAAGTCAAATATTGTGAAGTGAACACAGTAAGTAATTTACACATTGCAAACAGCACTTACAATCCATGTAAATAACCATACAAGGTCAAAAAATGCAAAAATAGCCTTTATTGTGTTAGTCAATCGGTAAAATATGGCGATGAATACTGAAAAATGCACGTAGCATGTAAATTATTACTTCAATCCTTTTTACTTAAAATCTTAGTATATTTTTCTCAAGTTTGATTTAGAAAAAAAATATTTTGGTTCATCTGGAGGCATGCAGCTTTAACAGAATGAGTTGCAGGTAAAAAGAAAAGGATTTCTATTCCTGTGTCAAAAGTTTGCATAAATAGACAAAAAAATGAAGGCAATAGAATAATACCAAATTTATGATATTTGACATGACAGGAATAAGTGACTTAAATAATCTTTTATTTCATTTTGGCATTTTGGTAAAATATGTTGTTGTACTAATTTTCCAATTACAAAACAAATTTTTGTACTTGAACCGATTTTGATGAAATAAAGTTTGTATTATATACAATATACAGAATCAATATTTTCATACATTTGCTAAAATATTTTTCTTGTCTATTTTTCTTTTTTCAATAATCAATACATGCTTATTAGAGTGCTAAAAGGGATGGAATTGTCTTCTTTTTCTTACCTTTCCTAACTCACACAGTAAGAAATGAAAGAAAATAAAATTAAATAAAAAAAAGAACCTGTTAATAGAAATTTACAACAAAGTATTATATTATTATTAGATTAGTATGACCAAAAATTTTTTTTTTTCCTTCAAAATGATTATATTTTGATTCCATTTCTAATTAAATAAATAAATGTCAAAATATTGTACACAAAAATTGCATTACACCAACTATCAATGATCACAACAAATCTAGATTTGTATCCCAAACAATTATCAATGTTCGGTCATCCTAAATGACCACTGGTCATCACAGTGGTCAGTTTAAAAAAACAACAACAATTATTTACTGCCCATCAAATCCTTTATCACAGTCGTCAAAATAATGTTCCATTTTCAAGCTTTCCTTAGTTTCCAAATCCTGCACATTTGTTTTATTTAAACCCAACTTTTTACAAGTACCAATAACATGTAAAAAAAACATTTCACATGTGTAACACATTTACGTTGGTTTCATTTTACATATACCAATTACACACCATATATGTGTAAAAACCAATAAATATATCACTGAAGCACATGTCTATCCTGTTGCTCCACTCAATGATGTTTCAGTTAAATTTTCTTCTTTTTGCTATGCAGTTTTAAAAATTATATTGCTGCATCACACATTTATACATCTGTGTTAACACAATGCATACAGACTTCAGCAACATAAGTTAGCACTGAATTTACATATTGCATAAAGACTCGCTGCTCTGGCCAAATTGCAAGTCATCAAACCAGTTGATTAGCAGTTAAACTAACCAAAGCCTAAAAATATATCATTTCATAGGCTTCCAGATGTATGATTAAATTTCATACAAAAAATCTCAAGCCAAGTACTTATGCTTAAGTTACACTGCGAAATATGTAACACATAACATAAATTCACAGACATATTGGACTTTCCCTCCTAACTTATCATAAGTTTCATAATGTACTCTCATCTACTGGTGCATCAGAATCTACCAGCAGTAGCTCGTCTGATGTTGGTGTTTTTATACGAGGACTCTTTTTCCGTTCCCCACTTCGACTCCGCCTTCCTTCTCTTGAACTACTCTTTTTCTCCTTTTTGTGTTTCTTACTTTTATGATGTTTATGAGAAGGGGAACCGGACTCACTTTTGCTAGGTGATGTTTCCCGGCTTCCTTCTATAATTTCATCCACCCACTGTTCATACATATCCTTAGAATTGGCACTTTCGGCTCTATTTGCCTCATCATTAGTCTTAGCATCAGTTGCAGGTGCAACCTGAGATATATTTGTAACATATTTGTCGTCTGCTTTCACAACAAAATGATCCAAATCAAACTGTATACTACTAACTGTTCTTTTAGTATCTAAACTAACTGGTCTTTTACCACTACTTGCTTTCGACTCAGTTCGACTTGTATTTTCACTATCGAGACCGTCCAAACCAAGATCATCACTGTTGTTTAAGTCTAACGGTAAGGGTGTTATCCGATTCATAGAAAACTGCTTCTGAAATTTAGGACTAGTTTTTGGGGTGCCGTTAGGCTTTTTAACAAATTTCTTAATAGTTCTGGCAGAATTTACATGCCCATTTGCCATATGATTTCCAGCCTGTTCTTCAGTCTGTCCAGTTTTCTTATCGGATTTTTTATCAGGAGAAATGTGTCCGCCTATATTATTCGCTAGACCTCCTGGTTTAACATGTTCTGTGCTCTCTATAGCAGACGGATTTTTTGTAAATGCCTGACCTTTAGTCAGGTCAATATCTCTTTCCCATGCTAGCTGCGCAGTAATATTTGTGAACTTTTTGTCGTCATCAGAATCAGAATCAGCTGTGCTCTTTCTAGGTTTCCTTGCTGTTCTTTGTAACTTAAGTGGCCCTGTTTTGCCTTTCTTTTTCTGATCTTTCAGTTGTAATATAATCTCATGACCAAGTTTCTGAAAATGAAATACAAAAATAAAATGCAAATTTTGAAACTATTTGTGAATAAATGGACTTTACTTTTGAATATTTGGTTATCTTAGTTTGATACAATAAAATAGCTGTTGTCATTTCATAATAAATGATTGCAAATTAGTTTTGAGCATATAAATACAATATTTAAATCAATTTTTCAAAGTTGTCCAAATAATCTTATTAAATCCAGATACTGAATTTGTGAAAGTCATAAAAAGTTTGATTTTCACTAAAGATAGGAGAAAATATTGCACACATATCAACACTTCATCTAAACATATTAACTTACATCGATACAAGATAATTACTTACCATTCATTTAATAAATAACTTACCATTCATTAAATAAAATCAATTATAAACAATTGAGTGATGAGTGCTCAACAAACACCCCTTCCACAAAGAATAAAACATTGCCTAACAATTCTATGAAGAGAAAATCATCCTTAAAATTGACCTTAATCCCATCAACTTCTATGCAAAATAACTTCTTATGTAATATCTAGGAAATCACTCGTTATTTAATGACTATAAGAAGAAATGTGAAAAAAAATCTATTTTCATTCTTAGCAGCACTGACTTTGACTCCTGTCATATACAAACAAAAACATAAGTCGGCAAAGTATCAATAAGACAAGAGCTCCGTTTGAGCTGGGTGATGCTCCCCGAATAGGTTTTGGACACAGGAAAGTACACCTCTTGTAGTTTTAGAGTTATGTCCCTGGAAAAAGTTCAAAATGCAATAATTCCAAAATTAGGCAAGGCAGAGTAACTGTTCTTTCCACTGCACTTCTAATCAACGAAGTTTCTTGTTGATACCTCTTATGGTTTCCGAGTTATGTCCCTGACAAAGTTCAAAATTTAAAAAATGAACAAAGGGCAATAACTACAAAATTTGGAAAGGCGGAGTTCATGTTTTTGTGCACTACACATCTACCCATTGATATCTTTCTACCTACAAAGTATCATGTTGATATCTCTTGTTGTTTTAGAGTTATTTCCCAAACAAGATTTTTTTAAAAGGGGAGATAATTCACAAATTGGGCAAAACAGAGTTATGTTTTTTTGTTTTTTTTGTACTGCACTTTTACTCAATGAGTTCTATCTACCAACAAAGTTTTATGTGGATATCTCTTATAATTTTGGCGTAATGTCCCAGACAAAGTTCAAAAAGTAAAAATAAACAAAGGGCAATAACTCCAAAATTAGGCAAGGCAGAGTTATGATTCTTGTGCACTGCACATCTACCCATTGAGATATATCTACCTACAAAGTTTCATGTTGATATCTCTTATAGTTTTACAGCTATGTCCTGGACAAGGTTTTTCTAAAAAGGGAGATAATTCAAAAATGAGGTTTAACAGTTATGGTTCTTTTGCACTGCACTTCTACTCAATGAGATCTATCTACCGACAATGTTTCATCTTGATATCTCTTAAGTTTTAGAGTGATGTTCCAGACAAAGTGTTAAAATTAACAAAGGGCAATAACTCCAAAATTAGGCAAAAAGAGTTATGGTTCTTGTGCACTGCACAACTACCCAATGAGATCTATTTACCTACAAAGTTTCATGTTGATATCTCTTATAGTTTTAGAGTTATGTCCCAGACTAGATTTTTCTAAAAGGGGAGATAATTCAAAAACCAGGCAAAATAGAGTTATGGTTTTTTTGATACTGCATTCCCCTTAAATGCCCTCTACCACTGTATGAAGTTTAAACAAATTATCTCCAAGGGTTTTCAAGTTATGCTCCAGACAAGACAACGGACGGACAGACTGACAAGGTGGCAACTATATGGTCTCCCTTCCGGGAGCATAAAAATGTTGACTTATAAGAGATCCTATAACTTGTTTGTTTTGTTTGCTTTTAAGGAAGACCAACACAATTTAGGTCATATGGTGCCAAAAATAAGATCCTATGAGATGTAATAGAAAGACAAAAAGCAGGCTCCATTATGGCCTCTGCAATTTCTTCTTGCAAAATAGAAAACCATCTTTCCTATTATTTCAAAATTACCTTCCAATTTCCTACAGCTATCTTTCTCTGACGTGCTTTTGTTTTAGGAGACGTTTTGATGACAACAAGGGCACGTAACTCTTCCTTCATCTTCCCATTCTCCATTGACGGCTCGCCAAGTTTGATTGAGTATTCCCTATGGTGGTGCTGTAGCTGCTTTTTTGTAAAGCCTCGTTCTAGTACGACCACAATCTTTGCCCACTGAAGATAACAAATCAAATATACAATCTCTCTTGAAAAAATTAAATAATGAACTCTAACCATTTTCATGTTGATAGATAAGGACATTTTTTTTCCATTATTTAGCAAGTAGTAATATAATATTGATATTAAAGTCATCATTTCAATTTTTTATATTCAGGATAATTGAAACACTACTGTTGTCTTTTAAGTGCACACTGGCTTTAATAAACCATAAACACAAACTTTGATAACTGCAGCATTGGTGTTATTAGCTTAATTGCAGACAGCTTTAGATCTCCTTAACCCATTACTTCATGAGCATTTTGTGAAAAATGGCTGTTTTCATTGAAAAGTCTCCCGTTACAAGTTCAAATTGCTAGAAAAAAATAAAAACTGCTTCAATACTAATCAAACTTGGCACAAATGTTGACTGGACCATTGCCTTTGCAACCACATGCTCAGGCTTAAATTATCTGTTACCATGGCAAGGAGGGGACATCTCAAAATTGCCAAAAAATTACTATTTTGCGTTGATTTTTTCCATCAAAATTGACTTCAAAGTGCTGCAACTTCTCAATGGATTGAGATAGAGTCAAATGCTTTTCAGCATTGGTTACACGTTACCTTATGATCAATCTGGGGTCATTTTTAGCCTCACACAAGTCCAAAATTTTCTTGGCGATGAGGGGGACTCCGCCCCCCTTCAAACCCCCCAAACAGAGGGGGGCACATCCCACTTCTGGCAACCCCCTGATGTATCTTTTGGTTGGGGGGCCTTGCCGAAAAAGTGGTCACTATTTTAAACAACATTTCTCAAACAAAAACAAGTGTTGGGGGCCTAAATAATGTCCGCAAGAAAACTACATATATGTACGCTATTATCTACGTTACGTCTTACCGTGCTATTTGACGTCAACGTCACTTCTGACGTATGTTGTTATTGTTGATATGTTACTGTTGAGATTTTGTACACATTGAATCGAGAGTCAATACAGATCGAACCTACACAACGCCACATTGGTGCCGTTTGTATAGCTATTGACTAATCATGAATCTACAGAAGCTTATTTCAACAAGAGAAGGTCATCGCAGAATTGTGCAGAGAAAATTAGCCGCAATTGATCAAAATGAGGAAATATTGTCTCTAGAATTTTCATCACTCATAGATTATCTGACAGAAAAAGCTACAATAATTAAAGGACTGACTGAAAAGATCATTAATCAGTGTGACGATATTGAAACAGAAATCGTGGAAAGTGAAGAATATTCATACGATTTGGATCTGAGGATTCAGAAGTTAAGCGAGTTTTACCGGAAACAGACCCAAGATTTTACAAACAATAGTTCCGTTGATCAAGAAGATAACCCTATGGTACCTAGACATACGAGTTCGAGTACATTTGCGCAACATAAACTCCCAAAACTTACCATACCTAATTTTGACGGAGATCTCACCAACTGGCAGACTTTTTGGGACTCTTATGAGTCATCTATTCATCTGAATTCTACGTTATCGGACGTTCAGAAGTTCAACTACTTGCAATCTCTGGTTCAAGGTATAGCAGCACGGTGTATAGACGGGTTTCCTTTGACGAATGCGAACTATTCAAAGGCAGTGAGTCTACTAAGGGAGCGCTTCGGACAACAACAGAAGATAATTCATAGATACATGCAGTCCTTGCTTGAACTTCCAAGACCTAGCAACAATGTAGTAAGTTTACAATGTTTTTATGATAAAAAATGGAAACTTTTATCAGAGGTTTAGAATCACTTGGGCAGTCACAGGAATCTTACGGTAGCTTATTAATACCAATAATTTTAGAGAAGTTACCAGGCATAAATGAAGCAAAATATGGCACGTGAACATCGCAGTGTAAACTGGGAATTACAAGAGTTAAGGTCAGCTATCTGTAAAGAAATTTCTTTCATGGAAGCAGGTATTTCTACTACTGATATTAAAACCGTGAACCTGATGTTCATATTCCCACAGCGTCATTCTTTACTGGAACCAGACAAAGTACAAATGAACGTAAAAATGAACGTAAGAAAGAACGTCAATTTCCGGAAAAACTTTCAAAGAAAGTTTGTCCTTTTTGTAATGATGACATTCCCCAAACGAGTGCAGAAAGGTTACATCATATGAATCGCGTATAGACATTGTAAAAAGAGAACATTTGTGTTTTAACTGTTTACGGAAACATCAAGTATCGGCATGTCGTTCCACAAACAGATGTCGTCACTGTCAGCGCAAACATCATTCGAGTATCTGTGACAAATCTGCTAAGCAATCAAACTCAAAGCTGAATCCCAATGCCGCAAGTTTCACCATACCAGCTACTTCCGGTGTTTCAAATCAACCCAAGGCTGCAATTCTACACTCTATCACTCAGCTTAGACATGACGTTCTTCTGAAGACAGCAGTTGCACAGATATGTTATAACAGCGTTTCACTGGAAACAAATATTCTTTTTGATGAGGGAGCTCAGCGTTCTTTTATCACTGAAGAATTAGCGGAGAATCTACAAATTGAGCAGACCGAAGTGAAGTCGTTCATTTAGCATCATTTGGTGATACTAGCCAAAGAGTACGACACATGAGAAAATGTTATATATATATCTTATTACAGACGACAATGAGAAAATATGCATTGATGTTTTGATTGTTCCAAAGATAGCCGTACCGCTGCGAAATTTTAATCAGAATATATCAGCCCTTCCATACTTGCATGGTTTAAAGCTAGCTCATCCAGTTACAAATGACAGAGATTTTGAGATATCGTTACTGATTGGAGCAGATTCATATTGGAAAATTGTTCAAGATAAGGAAGTCCGAGGGAATGGTCCAACAGCGGTGCAGTCGAGACTTGGATATCTTTTATCCGGTCCACTTCCGGTTTCCAACTTTCCAGCGTCAAGGCAACACCAACTTCCGGTTTCTACACTTACAGCGTCCACATCCCAACAGCCTCCAGTTCCCACACAAGAAACGTCCACCCATTTATTGAACATTTTAACGGCCTCCCCAGACTCCTTTGATATTGAGAGATTTTGGAAGCTCGAGTCCCTGGGTATATCTCAAGAAGAAGAGAACCGTGAATCTACATACCTAGAAAACTACCAGCATGATTCAATCACCTACAATAACGGACGTTACACAGCCAAACTGCCTTGGAAAGAAGATCACGCTATATTACCAACGAATTATGACATCACCAAGAAACGCACTGAAAACGTAATCAGACGTTTACGTCAAGACCCTAGTATTCTACAAACGTATGGAGAAATAATCAATGATCAAGAAAAGAGAGGTTTTATTGAGAAGGTAGACGAATGTATCACACCACAACACAAGATACATTACATTCCCCACCACGGCGTCAAGAAAGACTCAGTTCACAAACACCGATACGCATCGTATATGACTGTAGTTGTCATCAGTCACGTGACCAACCAAGCTTAAATGACTGTTTGAAGTCTACGCCACCAGAGCTTAACGATCTTACTCAAATTCTTATCCGTTTTCGGTTACACAGATATGCTGTTACTACCAACATAGAGAAGGCTTTTCTACAAATACAGCTTGCAGAAGAAGACAAAGATGTAACAAGATTTCTTTGGTTAAGTGACCCCAAAAATCCCGACAGTACTTTGATCACCTACAGGTTTAAAGCAGTTCTGTTTGGTGCAACATGTTCCCCATTCATTCTTAATGCAACGATTTTAAAACATCTAGCAAGTAACAGTGATGTATGGATCAGTAGTATTTTAAGAAGAGATTTGTACGTAGACAACGTTTTGTCAAGCTTTGAAGATGAAAACCAGGCACTTGCTTACTTCCATGATTCCCGAAAGCTTATGTCGTCTGCAAACTTTAACTTACGCTCTTGGAATTCAAATAGCCAGAAACTACGAAATTTAGCCTTAAACTACGACGTACAAGATACAGATAAAATCACAAAGATACTTGGAATGCGATGGAATACAGAGACAGATATGTTGACTTTCCAACAAACCTATATACCAGTCACAGATACTACAACGAAAAGAGAAATCTTGCGACAGACGTCAAAAATGTTCGATCCTCTTGGTCTACTTAGTCCGGTTACGGTACGTGCTAAGATTATATTGCAACAAATTTGGGAAGAAAAGTTTGATTGGGATACTCCACTTCCAGCAAATATACAAAAGAGGTGGAAAAATCTTGCTGCAGATTTGACTACACTATCCACCACTCAATACAGACGTTGCTATTTTCCCGGAGCAGACGAGAAAATTAGACAAGCAGACGACCATTCACATACTACCTTACACGTGTTTGTAGATGCTAGCCAGTCATCATATGGAGCTGCAGCGTACCTTTCCAATGGTCAAAATTCATCACTTATTATGGCAAAGAATCGTGTGGCACCTCTTAAAAAACTTACGTTACCTCGACTAGAATTAATGGCAGCTGTAATAGGTGCTCGACTTTTAAGCCACATAAAGAAGACATTAAAACACACAAATTTCTATCTTTGGTCAGACAGTCAGATTGTTTTACATTGGTTAGAAACAGTTAAAACTTTACCCCGCTTCGTGAGAAACAGAGTCGAAGAAATACAAAAACTGACCGGGAACCGGAAATGGAAATACTGTCCAACCAACTTTAACCCAGCAGATTTACTTACCCGTGGTATAACAGCGACCCAGTTTGTCAATAACAGCCTTTGGCAATATGGACCATCATGGATAAACAATCAATCAAAATGGCCTACATGGAATCCAAAAGATGCAACAGTGCTTACAGCTTCCTTATATGACACTTCTGGTCATGAAACCAACACTTCCGGTTCAGATCCTAGCACTACCAGTAATGTTACCACAACTAGCGAGCAAGGCATTCATAGAGTTATTGATATTGACAGATGCGGTTCATACCAGAAACTATTACGTATTACTGCATATGTGATGAGATTCATACAAAACAGCAGAAGTTCTAAAAAGAGACTCGAACCCCTGTCCCCCAATGAATTACTTCAAGCTGAGAAAACATGGCTAATAGACTGTCAGTCCAGTACTTATCAAGGAGAGATCAGCAACATGAGATCAAGTAAATCCCGCTCACAGCTTGTCAAACAACTTCGACTATTTTAAGATAACGATGGCGGAATCCGTTGCGGAGGTCGAATTCACAATGCCCCACTGGTCGAGAGTTCGAAATTCCCTTACCTGTTACCATCAAAACATAAATTGACCCGTTTGATTGTACTTCACTACCATCAAAAAATACTACATGCTGGAGTAAATTCTACAATTACTTACATACGACAGAAGTATTGGATACCAGCTATTCGTCAATGTGTAAAGACAATTCTTCGGAATTGTGTCACTTGCCGGAAGGTAGTTGGCCAAGCATACTCACCCCCAGATCCTCCTCCGTTACCCAGATATCGAGTAGAAGATACAGTGCCATTTACAGTGACAGGTGTAGACTTTACAGGCGCACTTTATGTCAGAACTAAAGATGGAATGGAATCAAAAGCATATATTTGTTTATTTACGTGTGCTTCCACACGAGCGGTGCACTTAGAACTCGTGCCAGATTTGACAGAAGACTCCTTTCTACAAGCATTTAGAAGATTCAGCAGCGGAAAATCTTTACCACATGTCATGATCTCTGCTTCAACATTTATGGCTGCCTCCAACCATATAACACGTTTGTTCGAGTCCCGACATGTACATGACACACTTACCAGTCATGGTACCACATGGAAATTCATTCCTAAGCGTGCACCTTGGTATGGAGGATGGTGGGAAAGGTTGATTGGTCTCACAAAGACAGCACTCAAGAAAACCCTAGGCCGTACCTACGTTACATACGACTCTTGCAGACTGTCATAACCGAGATAGAAGCCGTTATGAATGACCGTCCGTTAACATATGTCTCATCCGGCAATCGCCCAGAACCAGAACCATTAACACCAGCCCATCTTTTATATGGTAGACGCATTACCACATTACCGTATCATGACACTGTTGATGAAACGGACCTAAGTTTGAACCTTGGGAAACAACAGAACATTACACTACGTGCCAGAGTTCAGATTAAAATCATAGAAGACTTCCGTAAGAGATGGAGACATGATTACCTAACTGCTCTTCGTGAACAACATCGTACTTCCGGGAAAAATAAACAATCCATATCAGTTGGTGACATAGTACAAGTTCACGATGACGTACCACGTGCACAATGGAAATTGGCGGTCGTTGAACAACTCGTGCTCGGGAGAGATGGACATGTTCGTTCGGCGAAAATTAGAACAGACAGTGGTGTTACCAATAGACCGATAGTGAAACTTTTTCCTTTGGAAGTTACAGAACTTTAACTATGAAATAATATTCATACAAAGTGACACTTCAAAAGACTGTATTTTAAAGCTTAATAACGAAAGTAACCATAATAGTTTTGCCAAATGAACTGCTTAGAGACTATACGCTTATATATAAATTACGCTTTGATATTGTATGCTGATAAGTTACTTCTGAACATACTGCTTAAATATTCTTTATCTTTGTGTAATAAGTGTTAAACATTTCGCGGCCCCCAGTATGTCCGCAAGAAAACTACATATATGTACGCTATTATCTATGTTACGTCTTACCGCGCTATTTGACGTCAACGTCACTTCTGACGTATGTTGTTATTGTTGATATGTTACTGTTGAGATTTTGTACACATTGAATCGAGAGTCAATACAGATCGAACTTACACAACGCCTTTGTATTATTACTTCAAATATACGAAACTACTTCCACAAATAAGGCATTTTTTCACCATTTGAGAAACCAAAAGGGGGGGGGGGGGTGAAAAAGGCGTTAAAAGGCGTATATATTGCGTAATGGGTTAAGGTAGCAATCACTGTATCATTTATTTCAAGTCTATCTCATTAAATGTGAACAGTTTATTGTGAGCATTCCAAATTCCATCCACTGTATGATTTATTGCAAGCTTATCTTATTCATTGTTTATCGTTTCATGTATTCAAAGGAAGAGGACATATTTATGTACTGAAACTATCCCCATCAAACAATTCTACTAAACATAGCTTGCCTGTTTTCTCCATTCTTTTTCAGACTTTGATATAACACACTGGTATGTATTACCCATCATGGCTATCAACATGTTGAGTAACAAGATGGGTACTAGGATCATAAACACGGCAAACACGAGTTTGGTGAGAAGGGCGTAACGTGTCAGGTCAAAATCGTGGTACTGAAAACAGTAAAGTAAACATTTTTGCATTCATATATAATAACATGGTGTAAATGAAATAACACAGCTTATAATGATGCGGAAATATCTAGGTTATTAGTTTTAATGAACACTATAGTCAGTATTTCAACAATGTCCATACATGCAGACAATTCTTTAACATAAAATAGTCAATCCATTAATGAGACATACAATAAAATGCTCAAAATGAATAAAAAAATACTAATTGTTGGCAAATTTAAAAGAATTTCATCATAAAGGATATTTGTCATACATTAGGACTACTTTAAATTTTCAACTCAGTTTTTCAATATTAAATTCCAAAGCAATCATATCTGACATTACCACATTACTATATGAAAATATTTAATAGTAATTTTTGAAAAGAAATTTGTTTTTAATTTCAAGGTATATAAATCTTCTTATGATAAACAGTAACAGGCTATAAGTAGAAAAGAAATTGTAGCCTAGAAAAGTTTCCTTTTCCAAACAATAAAAGCTTATCATTTCTTGGTACAAATACATTTCTGAAAAAAATAAATTGTATCAATAATGGACCTGTATATGAAAAAGATTAAAGCGATCATACTGATTTGAATCAATAAGTTAATAGTAAAAACGAACAACACTCTAAAGTATAAAATGCACTCTTTGAGAAAGTTATCTTAATGTAAAATAAACATAAAAATAAAATGCACTCAAGAGCAACAAAATGTAACGAGGACAAACTGCAATAAACCTGCTACATATCCATGTACGTTTTTAATTTGTTTTGTTAGAACTTAATTCAGACAATTTACTTGCGACAATTTAACCTTAACCTGCAGAATTCCTTTCACAGATTTGTCGAGCTTAATTTTTTTGGAACTATCCAATATCCAATATCAATTTTGAGGATAATTAAAAAGACGGAACTTTAAAGTTGGTCAGCCAATGTTATACGGCATGGTCAGACTGTACTGATGTGCAGGCTGGCCAGGAAATATCATGGTGGCAAAGTCTTATCACTTAACTATTCTATCAGGCTAAGGGTTAACAACTTCATTTGACCCAGTGGTTTTTCTCATTTGACCCAGTGGTTTTACTCATTCAATTTGGAAATGGCCTTAGCTTCTTGACTTTGGGAAGAATTATCGCTAAAATAGCAACATTAAGAAGTTAACAAGGTTGTGTAAGTTCAGACTTTTGGGAAAACTGCATGACTTCAAAGAAAATTTCCATTGTTAAGAGGCTTTTTATAGGCCACTGCTTGAATTTTATGGATCACAATTCAAGTATAAATCACATTTATTTTTTAAATAATGCAAAATAAACATAAGATATGGGAAAGTTTAAAACAAGTCCAAGTAAAACTGTGACACTTTAAAATTTATGACTGATGCTTAAAGTAAAGTATTTCTTGGTTATAACAGCACACTGCAAAAATATAGAATCTTGGTCAAAGCATATAATTATTTTTCTGTGCTGTAAAGACATGAATACCTATAAATGCATTATTCTGAATCTGTAAAAATAGGAAGTTTAACATAAACAAACCTAAAATAATCACAAACAAAAACAAAACAAACAGGTTCTCAGTACATCTAAACACATACAAACACATTATCTGTAGATAAAAGATGTGGGTGGAGAAATGTGTAAAGAAATTGCTGCTATAAATAGACAGCCAATGAAAAAAAAGAGAAAAGATCATATTATGACCAATACCTTGCTGCTACCTCCACGTGTAAGCTATGAGCATATGACAAACAAGACATATAACATATAATGAAACACAAATAATGCTAAATGAAAATATCCATTTTTACAAACAATTTTTATGTTTACACTAAACAAGCACTATACAAGCACAGAACAAAGGTGGTTCCCCTATACATTGTACATATCCTTAATTTCACAAAAATTATGCTTAACACTATGACTGTGGTAACTTATCATACAAAATTATTCCTTATATTCAGGAAATACTTTCTGCATTTTTGTATAACATTGCAAGGTTCCAGTATAGATGTGCAGTGATACAATCACAAAGGGTCATCATTCTTAAAACCAGAATGATTTATTATAGAACATCTGGTCTAGAACTGTGCAATGTTATCAAATAATGCAAGAAAAGTTAAAAGTATGTTACCATTCTTATCATGCAAGTAAAATAGAGAATATGGAAAGTCGATTTAACCATATTTAGTGGGGCAAAAGTAATTTTCTTAACATCATTAGGTTTGTCAACTTCATAGGTGACATTAAACAAAGTGTCAATGTTTCTTTCCTTGAATTCCCTGTATAATGCATTCACAAGGTTCATCTTTTTTTAATTAGGAAAATCTGCTTATTTTTACACTTCAGCAATCTTCTGGCATGATAAAGAATGTCAATTTAACAGAGAAAAACAAAACCTTGTCACGCAACCAACCTCTTCCACATGGCAACTTTGAAAGAAAACCACAAGCCCTCTGTTTCATACATACTTTATTTCAGGCAAAAATGAGATCAAAGTAGAATCACTGACCATCCATCACCTAAAAGGATAGCTTCCTCACATGTCACAAGCTAGGAAAGGTCTGGCCACTAAATAAAATTGAATAGTAATGGCCACTTCCAGGAGTTTTTTTTTTCATTTTTGCCAAAGATGTAGGTTAAAACACACTGCTTATAGTCGGCTAAATACCCTACACATGTAGTTTATTGTAATCATGATTCAAGAATCTATAACTGTTCCAGTACTGCATGTAAATGCCTTTTTCCCCACTAAATTATCATACTGGGAAAATGTCTATAATAATGTGTCAAATGGTTTAATGTGTACCTTACTGACAACCAAAGCTCTTTTAATGTAATTATTATCTGCAACCAAAACTCTTTTAATGTAATTATTATCTGCACAATCTAAAATACTTGTGACCTTTAACCAATTTACACTGATCTTTTCTGTCAAAACCTCATCTCACCTTACATACATTAGGTCAAAAAACTCTTATCTTCTTAGTATAAGTGTGGGTAAAAATCCAGTCTTTTTATACAAATTTGGAGAAAAAAATCCTTTCCTTTCTTATACAAATGTGGTAATATCCAAATCCTTCTTACACAAATGTGGTAAAAACTGAATTGGATTGCCTTCTTAATATAATACAAATGTGGTAAAACCCCAATGCCATCTTACATAAATGTTGTAAAACTCAATCCCAACTTATACAAATATGGTAAAAACACAATGTATATTACAGGGCTCAAGCTAGGTTCAAAATTTAGGGAGAAGTCACTTCTCCCTCCAGCTGCTTTAGGGAGAATTGGGGAGACTTTAGGGAGAAGTGAGGAGATTCATTTATCGATGTTTGTTGTATGTTATCGCAATTATGTTGACTCACTGTACATATCTTATTAAATGAATTGGATTTGTGTTACAACAGAATATTCAATTTTAATTTAAAAGTAGTTTGAAACAAGTAATAAGAATGAGTATCATGTAATGCAACCATTGCATTAAATGAAGATAAAAAAGCCATAGTTGATTCCTATCATGGATCATATCATGGGTGGATTAACAGTTATTCCCTTCTGATTTACTATTAAAAAGCTTGCGCCGGACATTATATTCATATTCACTTATGTTGTAAAGAAAATGAAAGTAGATAACGAAAGAAACGATCTTTAATTTAACTTCATTTGTAATAAATACAGTGTAATACGCCGTCAATTTTATCAAATTTAACTCGTCGACAAAAAAGGTTATCATAACTTTCATTTAAAATTACCGTTACAGTTATATGTCGAGCGGTCCTCTTAATTCTGACAATCATTCGATAGTGAAAATTTAATTGACGTTTGATCCGTCCATCATAAATAATTGTTACGGGTAGTTGTATGTTAGCGATTTAATGATTGGTTTAATAATGTCGCCTCGATTAAAACGTGAATTACGATTGGTTTCTCGCACGTATCGGTAATCTCGCCGTGGGCGGAGTCTAATTGTTCCTCGAGTGTCTGTTAATTAGACTTTTATGACATGTTGGTAAACAAACGGATTAATGACTTTTATGACATGTTGGTAAACAAACGGATTAATGACATTTCGCGTTGATTGAGATGCATGACAGTCCCTTTTCCCGGCGGCGAGGATAAACAAAGCAAACACACACAACATGTTATTCACAGTTATTGTTATTGTTGGTAATTTTCAATAATGGATCAATAAAATCGGGCGACTTCATCTTCGCTTTCATGTAGGATGTCGGCGAAGTCGGACGGAATTCGGTGACTATTTTGCCCGAATCGCCCACTAGCTCGAGCCCTGTATTATATAAATATTGTTAATATCCAATACCTTCTTATCTAAATGTGGTAAAAATCCAAATCCTTTCTTATACAAATGTGGTAAAAACCTAATCTCTTCTTATGAAAATGTTTTAAAAACCAATCCCCTCTTATTGAAATGAGGTAAAAACCAAATTCCTTCTTATCAAAATGTGGTAAAAACCTAATTCCTTATACAAATGTGGTAAAAACCAATTCCCTCTTATTAAAATGAGGTAAAAACAAAATCTCTTCTCATAGAATTGTAGTAAAACCCATCACATATGGTAAAGAAACCATCCTCTAACCAAATGTGGAAAAAAGTAATCCCCTATTATGTGTGGATAAAAAAATCCAAACTTTTTTTAAATACAATAATGATTAAATAAACACAATTTTATCATACCTTGAATTCACCAAGTGTCATCTGAAACAGAGTCATGATAGTTGATGGAAGTGTTTTGAAACTCTCTTGGTTGATGTCCCGAAACAGAAAATAAAAACCTGAAAATATAATCATCATTTTAAGGAAAAATATGTCTGTTATTACCCACAACCTGCCATAAAATAAAATTATGAGTAACAATGAAAATTCATGAATTTTGGAAATATGAGCTTAATTTTCAAGGTAATCTTAGTGGTTAAGGTCATGTTTTAATTTGATAAATGAAATACCGTATAAGTACTTATTTCTGCGGGCTTAATATTCTGCGATTTTTGTTAAAATAAGGGGTTTTAAATTTCTGCGTATCTTATTTCTGCGGTGTCATCATTCTCCCATTGATGTTTTTTTTTTCTGCATCTTAATTTAGATATTTTTACAAAATCAACCGATACAAACAGACAAAATTTCAAGATTTGTTGATGTAACATGTACATTACTCCCGGTAAACATGCAGACGACTTATAATGTGTTTCATCGTAATCATCATCTATTGGTATATAAACGTTAATAAAACAAGAGCCATGTCAACATGGCCATCCCCCGCCGAATGTGTTTGCTCATTGAAAGAATGTATATGTAGTAGAGCGGAATAATTACATTTTAAGAGGTCTTTTGGTAATGAAAACTGATGGCTATAGTGATTACAGATTTGAAACCTATGTGAATACTGATGGCTGAAAATAACAAAGGGCAATTACTGAAAAATAATGCAGGGTAGGTTATCATTCTTGTGTGCTGCATCCCTCCTCAGTAAAATCTATCCACCTATGAAGTTTCAAGTTGATACCTCAAATACTTTTTGAGAAAAAAATTGAATTGAAAAATTAAGTATGAAAAAGAACAAAGGGCAATAACTTAAAAATTATAAAAGGTAGAGTTATCATTCTTGTGCAGTGCACACCTCCTGAGTGAGATCTATGCACCTATGAAATTTCATTTTGATATCTCAAAGGCTTTTTGAGTTATGCTCTGGACAAAAATTAATTTTGAAAAATAACAAAGGGCAATAACTCAAAAATAATGCAGGGTAGAGTTATCATTCTTAAGCACTGCACTCCTCCTCAATGAGATCCATCCACCTTTGAAGTTTCAAGTTGATACCTCAAATACTTTTTGAGATAAGCTCTGGACAAAATAGCATGAAAAAAAACAAAGGGCAATAACTCAAAAATTTTATAGGGAAGAGTTATCATTCTTGCGCACAACATTCCTCCTCAATAAGATCTATCCACCTATGACATTTCATATTGATATCTCAAACACTTTTTGAGTTATGCTCCACTCAGGTGAAAAATTAGGTATGAAAAATAACAAAGGGCAATAACTCAAAAATTATGAAAGGTAGAGTTATCATTCTTGTGCACTGCACACCTCCTGAGTGAGATCTATGCACCTATGAAGTTTCATGTTAATATCTCATAGGCTTTTGGAGTTATGCTCTGGACAAAAATCAATCTTGAAAAATAACAAAGGGCAATAACTAAAAAATCATGCAAGGTAGAGTTATCATTTTTGTGCACTGCACTCCTCCTCAATGAGGTCTATCCACCTATGAAGTTTCAAGTTGATAACTCAAATACTTTTAGAGATATGCTCCGGACAAAAATGTCGGACGGAAGGACGGACGGACGGAAGGAAGGACGGACGGACGGAAGGACGGACGAACGGACGGAGACTATTTCTATATCCTCCGCCGAAAATTTTCGGTGGGGGATAAAAAATAACAACATGCAATGACAACAATTAATTGTAATACTGCATGTGTATAAATATGAAGTGTGAAAAATAAACAATGGTAAAATCGCACGTAGACACAAGATATTGTACAAATACAAAAGGGCATGTTTTTTGCACTCGTCAAACTATAATAGTCTTATTTTTTTTTTAAAGCAAGCTTAGGGTGAGCAAAAATCATACATACATGATATTTATTTAAACAAAAAGAACAAGTCAAGTAACTTTTTTTCTAACATTTTATTCATGACGGATACATAAAGAAAAATTCCCATCTACGGTACATGGTAATGTAATTATACAATACCGGTAGTTGACATATTTCGACATAGTCATAGGGAAAGGCTTAATTTTCTGCGGTTTTTAAATCTGCGGTGTCGTCATGAATCGCAGAAATAGCAGAAATAAAGTTCCCGCAGAAAAAAGTACTTATATGGTATTTTCATCCAAAATTATGTAAATTAGTTAAAAAAGCTCCAGTTGTTACAGCCATGGTTAGAGCTGACCTTAACCATAAACCTTCTGAATTTGTGTAATGGATTTGCCCTGCTTTGTATTTGGAGCAGTCCATTAATGTTTAAGGGATTTCATTATGACAAGAGCCATGTCAACATGGCCATCCCCCGCCGAATGGAAGAATGTATATGTAGTAGAGCACCTATGATATTTCATGTTGACATCTAAAACACTTTTGAGTTATGCTCCACTCGGGTGAAAAATTAGGTATGAAAAATAACAAAAGGCAATAACTCAAAAATTATAAAGGGTAGAGTTATCATTCTTGTGCACTGCACACCTCCTGAGTGAGATCTATGCACCTATGAAGTTTCATATTGATATCTCATAGGCTTTTTGAGTTATGCTCTGGACAAAAATTAATTTTGAAAAATAACAAAGGGCAATAACTAAAAAATTATGCAGGGTAGAGTTATCGTTTTTGTGCACTGCACTCCTCCTAAATGAGGTCTATCCACCTATGAAGTTTCAAGTTGATAACTCAAATACTTTTTGAGATATGCTCTGGACAAAAATGTCGGACGGAAGGACGGAAGTTCTCACAGGACAGTAATTATGTGGCTACTCTATTGTTCTCTCTATTGTTCTTTTTAGCCACACAAAAGAAAATAGCCACATAAAAGCATTACGGAATGAATGACATCAAAGAGAAAGAACAGTTACCTATTGTCCCTCTAGCCACATAATTACTCTCCTGTGAGTGCGGACGAACGAACTGATGGACGGACGGAGACTATTACTATATCTCCCGCGGCCTTTACAAAAATTGAGCTACCAACAGTATAGAGTCTGGTTTGAGACTGCACAGGCTAATCATTTTCATTTGGAGAAGGATAATGGTTTAAAAACAGACAGACAGATGTAATATGATTGTATGCCAACTGATTGGGCTCCTCCTATCTATCAATGCAAGTGCAATAAAATATGAATTCCAATAATTAAAGAATTCACCGACTTATGACTTATTTATGATTTATGGTTTTTAATAGTCAATAAGTCTAACATCACATTTGAGGTGAAATTGATCATATCTGTTACAACAAGTCTAAATAATAATAACTGAGATGCACTTATGAATATTAATCACTAATTTAAAAGCTATGGATGAGCACATCGATCTTGGTCTGCACCATTTGCAGATTGTCGTAGCCTCCATCAGTCTAGCGTTACCTACATATAAATTATTTTCTTACCTTGCGTAAAACCAATGAGGAAAATTACATAGATGATGCCGAACCTAAACAGGTCGCCCGTACACATTTTGTATATCAATGTAACAAATGGTCCGGTTAGTTTCACACTCCTGTTAGATAAAAAAAAATATACAAAAACCAGTTAGTGTTAGCATTAAAACAATTAAATCACGCTCAAAATCTGGTAGAAAAACATAATAAAAAAAACAAACACAAGGAATATTATATTAACAACCAAGTGATAGGATATTGTACAAAACCAGATTTTCTTGCTAATTTTATGTAAGATGTGAAAATATTATAAAAGGCCATAATTCCGCCAAAAAATGATCAAAATAATAAAACCCCAACAATATGAACCAAAGCACTTGGTGACAAAAGTTGGAAAAGTTTATTTCGAGTACCTTGACAGTCATTTAAGTATTCATTTGCCAGTCCATGGTCAAAGACAAAGCAAAGGTAATAACTACACTGGCACATCATTAAACTGTGTGCCTGTTATAACTCTAACCTCATTATAACACTCATGGGTATTAAATCTCCTCCAACAAAAAATTGGTTCCTACATTCCGCTGTTTTATCAGTCTACGGACAGTATGACAGCGCTCTTAGGTGGGGTCATAAAAAATCTCTTACTGTTTGGTGTCAAAACCATTTCTCAGACTGAGCCTGGTACCAAATGATACAGACACTCAATCTCAGAGTGAGCCTGGTACCAAATATACACCAACACAAGCTTCAGAGTGAGCCTGGTACCAAATATACACCCACACAAGCTTCAGAGTGAGCCTTGTACCAAATATACACCAACACAAGCTTCAGAGTGAGCCTGGTACCAAATATACACCAACACAAGCTTCAGAGTGAGCCTGGTACCAAATATACACCCACACAAGCTTCAGAGTGAGTCTGGTACCAAATATACAAAAACTCAATCTCAAAGTGAGCCTGGTACCAAATATAAACTGGTACCAAATATAAAGACAGTGAGTCTGGTACCAAAAAAGAACATAGAAAATATATGTCTGAACAAAATTCTTTAAATCATCAAAATTAAGTGTGACCATGTATTTACTCATGCTTGTGACTTTCTAACTTACATCTTTATAGAGAGTTAAAACATTGAAAAGCATTTTAATCATAGACAACTCTAGTAGTTTTAAAATCTGAAAATAACCATTTTCTCAAAACAAAAACAACTTGAATCTATGTTGAATATCATAACCATGTAAAAAATAGCTTTTTTTTTAAATACATGTATAAAGTTTTCAAATCATTTGCATTTCTATATATATATAACTATTTTACTGAACTAAAACAAAAATGCGGCAATCACTCCTTTTTTATCCGTATTCATTCATCCATATGAAGTTTTCTTCCCATTGGGCAATAAACCTGCATTTTTTTTTATATACTCCTTTCATTGATAAAAAATAAGAACATAAATAAAACTATTGCAATTTTTGTGGTTTAAGGTGTTTTTTTTTAATATACATCCTTGTCTAATAGTTTTGCTACATCATGTTCAGGATGTGATTGGATGAATACTGAATAAATGTAGAACAGAATGCTCAAATCCCATTGGTTGTTTAATTCTTTACAATTTTTTGATAAAATAAATCATTTTGATCATAAAGATATAAGTACATAATGTACATAAAACTCATTCATGCACATACTTATTATGTACTATGTCTGTAAACTGTGCCAAATCATATATATATACCAAATCATATAATATATATTTATCACCTTTTTATTATATTTAAAAGTCAATTACATAGACAGTATAGTTATGACAATGATGAAAGTTTATCTATAAATAACACATTAAACTTTTCAAGGCACATTATGCCTTAAAAAGCCATATCTTTTTTTATTTTTTGTTTAGAAACATCTAACATGTGTTTAATAATGTTTCCAAAATGAATTAAGAGCATATTATGAGATGATTTACAGCTGAAAAATGTATTGCTGAACATGCAGTTATGTGTTGAAAGGTAGTAAGATGTAAACAAAGCAGTATTTTGACTTCCAAACAAAATTAAATTGAGGCCAGCAGGCTAGGAAAGAAACTTTCATTAAATATTCACCTTCTTGGTAACTATCACATAAGTGTTTTATTTAAACTTTCGACTTATTTACATGTTTTTACTATTCTACACACGTTCTTCTTTCATATATTTAACAATTCTAAGCAGGCATTCCAAATTTCTGTGAAGAGTTATAGCATAAAAAAAACGAGAAAAACAATGAAATTCTAAGTGTTATGCATTATATATAATTTCTCAATAAATTCATTTTCAGCCATAATGGTGTTTTTTTTTAAAACAGCGTTTCTCTTTTTTTTTTCTGTATAGCTATGTCATTTTATGAAATCATTTTAAATTTTTACATTACAAATTCCTACCGCTACAATTTACTCGACACGACTAGATTAGCTGATAATAGGGAGGGGCTGTGTATTTAAGTAATTTCTATGCTGTAAATTAAGTAAGTGTGCCTCATCAAAGGAAAATATTTTTTCCTCATAGCTGAATCATTTTTAGTAAAATTCATTGATATATATAAGGTAAATAAAAAATCAAATTCCTTAAACATTATTTCACTTTGAAAAAAAATCATAATTCTGAAATGTTTTTATGCTTATCTGATTTTCTTATGTAAATTTTAGATATTTTGTTTCTATATAAAAATATTCTATACAATTTATCAAAAGATGCTCATAAAATTACTGCTGCAAGATAAATATCAAATACTGGTAATAAAAAAAAACGCCACAAAAGTTTAACTAGTACCAGTAGACATGTTATTTAGGCATGGAAGTGCACCTCAGTGTAGAACCATAACCTTTCTGCAAGTTCAAGTAAGTCCTCTCATAAAATGAATCATAATGGGATTTGAAACTAAAGCAGACTCTCTCAGATATAAATTATTTCAAGTAAAAATATCTTGATCATAGAGCAACAGAATTCTTAAAAGGACTCCACTGAGGTTTTTTGACATAACGGGACTAAAATATGACATGTCTGATAGGTTTACATGTCAAACAAGCAATCTAAGGATTCTTGTCATTTGGGTTAATACCCCACCAAGGGCAAGCCGTTGTTTCTATTAGCAAGAAACTTTACACCCAATGGTAAGTACTGGTTTGTTCCAAGATTGTTTCAATAAGCTTATAGCTTCCTACAAAATCATTCCTACAAAATCAAACTAAAATGTATTTGTATACACTAAATTTTTTATTTAATAAGTGTACCCATGACTTGTGTGCAACTTTCTGATCATGCATTCACTTTGTTTTCCCAGATCAACCATTCTAACTGTGCAAAATGACCCAAATATGTAGTGTTCAAAAGTTTTACCTCAAATCAGGCTAAAAATCACACAACAAACAATTTTCAATACAATTCTGAATATATTTCTATATTATCTTTTGCATATTTTTCCGTCTTTATGTTACCCAGTTGATCTATGTAAGAATTTCAAATTTTAAGACTTTAGGTGTTCCAACTCAGTCAAGCTCCTTTCATGAATATATAATGAGGGTTGACCGCAAAACTGTTGTAGGTTCTTCTTCATTTCATATAAAATACTGCAGTTTTGTGGTCAACCCTCGATATGCTATCTACATTATACTTTAAGTTTAAAGAAATGAAATTTTATGTGAAAATCCAAAAAGCATACCAGGTACCTGTTCAACCTATTAGAACGTCCTAATTACACTAAAAGGAACAAAATTTAAAAATTCCTCATAATTATGAATTTGAACATTTTATGAGTCAGTGTGCATCGCAAACTTAGAAACAAGGGTTAATATTAACTATCTGGTAAAACGTTAAAAGGTGCGGATAAAAAACAATTCATAAAATTGTGAACATGTTATTGAATGTGTGACTGCCGAGGGTAAAGTAATAATGCGTCAGTGCCAAATACCTAATCCAAAGTTGAATACAAATATGACCCAGATAATGGCAACTCTAACAAAATCTGTTCTAAGCATCAAAAACATCATTACAACAAATGGTCCAGTAGGTGGGTTTATTCTGAAATCAATTCATGTCTAAAACTCATCATTCTGTGTATCTATTGTTCTTACAATATCACTTGATTTCTAAAATTGGAGTAATTACTACTTACTTACTTACTGATTTCTGTAATTAATTAATCATTTTCTAAAATTGATTGGTTCACAGAATTAATTGATTTCTTGAAAATTGATTAATTTCATAAATCTGACAGTTTTAATCTGAAACCAGGCGATTTTCTTCAAATTGGGTTGCTCCTTAAATTTATTAAATGATGAAATTATAATATTGTCACTTTCCAACTTTTCTGGTGGAGAAAACCACAATTGCCCCAGTACATTATTTCAGACATGAAAGGGTCCATAGTAGAACTATCAGCGTTTTGCAAGCTAGCTAGCTAAACCTCTTAACATGAATGTATTCAAAAGTTCCTGACCAAGGATTCCAACCCTCCCAGTCAAGTGTTGGTAAAGAAGTGATTTCAAATCAGTGATCGTAACCACGTTGCCACATAGCACCTTAACAGGTAATTCATTTTGCCCTATGCCCCTACCCCTACAAAATATTTTTTTTAAATATATAATAATAAAGAAGGTACGAACCTTGCAAAGAAGAGTAAGAAGAACCAGGATCCCGGCACTGATAATATCAAGAGAACGTCTTCTATGTACTGTCTTCCGGTAAACCGGAACGGTATACATACCAATATCAGAAGACATGAGATCATGAACACGGTGTGATCTGGTGCATGCCGCTGAAAAAATATATACATTTAAGTTAACTCTTAGTGTACAGGGAACCGAACCGGAAGTGATTAGACTTTTCAACCAGTTTAGAGCTAAGCCAGCATGCACATACATTGTACATACATTTTTACCAGGATCTATAAAGCTGGCTATCAAACTTGAAATTTTGATCAAGATATCCTTAAAATTGATAATGGACAATTCCAAAATGGAAGGTGGACAAGTCAATTTAAGAAATTCAGCAGGTTGAAGGGTTAAAGAATATAAAAAATATCATCACTTTTTCGTATTTGATGGACTATGTATTTTCATCTTGATAAAAATCATACCAAAATAACTGAATTGCACAAAGAATGTTTGAAGACGGTGATGCAGACACAAGAACATCACTTACATTACTAAGATTAGAAATTACATATATTGCAAGGAATATTTTTATTATTTAATACATTTATTTCATCTATGCATTGAGTAACAATGACTCTCTCAATTAAAACTCTACAAACAGTATGAAAAGAATATGACTTTACAAGATGGATGAGTTCACAGGTTTTGTGCTTTTTTGGTCACACCTTTAAGGGTGACTTGAGAATTCTGTTTAAAATAATAGTTTTCCCATTTCTAGTTTGTGCAATCAAAATCCTGTGTATATCCATGAATAGTTTGAAATACAGGCCTTATTAACACAAACTTCAAATTCCCTACACATGTGTATATGTACATAAATATGTAAAAGCTACTAAAGATGTAGAATACCTGCCATCTTTCTTTTACAAGCAATGTTACTGTTTTATCAATTTAAATAAAGGCCTTTCAACAAAATATAAATAGTTTAGACCGTTTTAACCATGTTTATATAAAGTACAACATTGTGTACCTTTAAATTACAACAATTTTTTATATAGATTAAAACTTCGTTGTAATTTATTAAGAATCAAACACGCTTAAGTGTTCAAAGCACAATCATTAAATTATAATAAATTATATTTTTCAGCTTCACTGTAGTGCCAATACTTACACAATTTTTTAAAAACGCTAAAGCCCCCTGAGCTCCAATTTCTATAACTTCTAAAATCAAATATGCCAGACACATCAAACAAACAATAATCTCAGCTGCAAATCGTACCTGAAAATATTCAATTCTGAAACATTAAAAATTTTAAGTTCAGAAATATTAAATCATTTCACAATAAAAAATTATAAAAAAATCGATAGTAAAGTCTCATTATATAAATACAGTAACCCAATATCACAAGTCATTCAAAAGATGGAATAATACGAAAATACAAATACAAATTGTAATAAATAAAAAAAGTTCATTATCAATTTAAAGACCTTGTAGATAGTCAATCTAACATACCCCGTCCTTTGCTGTATTATACTTCAACAACTGATCTGCAGGACGTAAATATATGGCTAAACTTATCATTGACAAGTGTATAAAAGTCAGGATCAACCGCTGGATAAAACGTTTCTGAAACGAAAAAATATATAAATTTTCAGGTCATAATTGGTATAAATTTATTAAAAGTTTTACTGTAAGGCAAGTTCTTAGATCACTTAAATCAAACACTTTCAAAGAGTCCAGTCCATTAAACAGTAACCAGTCCTGGTGGCATGTGAGGAAACATACAGGTGATCTGAGTAGGGCTCGAACCCTCAAAACTTATGATTGAGTGCAGAGATAAAAAATTCCACTTGTCCGCTCATAATAACAAGTAGAAATTAAGAAAACTCGAAGCAGAACAAGTAGAAAAATGTTGCCTGCACATTGGATTTAGAAGCTAATCGACCTGCAGGATGAGTGACTCTGAAAATATTTTTCGATGCCTGTGAGTAGCAGACTATATTAACAAGCTTTCTTTAATTGGAAATACTACTATCCAATATATATGACTGATCAATTCCATTATCTGATCGATTCCATTATCTTTTATTTACAAAGAACCGTAGGAAGTTAAAGAAAAAATAAGAGAAAAAATATGAACTTGTCTTTATAGACCAGTTCCATGCAAAGTGTTTCAAATTTCAAATTCTGCTTTTGTCAGATTTTAAATTAATGCAACATTTAAATGACAGAAGCCCCTCCAGCTACAAAACTTTAAATATCAAGTTCAGTAACTCTTGAAGCTTTTTTGACTGACTCATCAAAGTTATCTCTCTTGCTTATCTATAATGGTGCAAATGAAAATTTGAAGTAAAATTAAATATCATTGATATTTCTGACATACAGAACACTGCATTATGAGAGAGGAAGAATTTATTAGTTGACAACAAATAGTCATAAAGAGAATTTTACATGTTTGTTTGTTTAATTTTTACACCAATTGCGCATCCGCACAGTCTGATATGGATCCATGCTGTTTGCTATCAGTTTCTTTACTTGTAATAGGGTTGGTAAGCGAACAGCATGGATCCTGATCAGACTGCGCGGATGCGCAGGCTGGTCTGGATCCATGCTGGTCGCAAACGCACTATGTTGGTTTTGTCATGGCCTGGCTCATATGTATATTGTAGATGACTTATAAGCATGTTGAATGTTTCATCCCATCAAATAATTTAAGTTTGAGTTTGATTCAGAAGTTGAACACATTATTAATGACTATTAGACACAATGTCTTAAATCAATAATTGTCATAGAAAAATTTCACCTTACCTGGATTTTACTCAAGTTGTAATTCAATACACACTTGTATTTAGTTTAAATGTAGGAAACATTGTAATGCTGCATGTTTGTAACGTTTATATAGTTTTTATAAAGAAATTTCATTCTTTTCACTTAAAAAGCAAATTTGCTGTATTAAAAATTTGTTATAAATATTCTGGGCAGGTTATTATGACCATATATGAGCCGCGCCATGACAAAACCAACATAGTGTGTTTGCGACCAGCATGGATCCCGACCAGCCTGCGCATCCACACAGTCTGATCAGAATCCATGCTGTTCGCTTACCAACCTTTTTACAAGTAGAGAAACTGACAGCAAACAGCATGAATCCTGATCAGACTGCGCGGTCTGGATCCATGCTGGTGGCAAACGCATTATGTTGGTTTTGTCGTGACGCAGCACAGATAAACATTTATTTGCAATATTACAACCAAACAACCATTTATGTAAGGCTATATAACCTGTCAAAAATCTTTAGATCTAATATCATAAATTTTAATGGAGTCTGTTGTGAGTTTATAACATTTCAGGGACAAATTAAATATAAGTGTATAAAAAATTTAAAATATGCAACTTTTTCTTCTTATCACATGCTATTAAAACATCGGAAATGAGAAAAAAAAATCAACATTTAAATCTTTGACTAAATAACGGGCAGAATGACAAAGTCACATGACATTTGTAATTAAGGTTAAGTCTTACTGCAATGCTTTTCCGCCAAAAATATTCTAACATCAGCCAATATTGTAGCAAACTGGTTATATCCAGAAGGTTATTTTTTTTTTAAATCTGGGGCATTACATTATTTACAATCGCTCATTATTTCTTGCTATGTACTAAATTCCGGTTATAAACGGTTAAAAATAATTGTGAAAAATAATTTTCTTGAAATGACTGATTTATTACGATACTGGCGGATGCAAGCAATTTTTAAGCCAGAAAGAATTGCAGTAAGACTACCTTAAACATGACTGTGCACTATAAAAAAATGTCAGTTAAGCTTATTATTCCATTTAAAACAAACTACATCCTGTGATAAGGCAGAGAAAACAACTTTCCATTTAATATCGAAATTTAGATAAACATATTACCCTTGCAAAAGTTTTCCATTTATCATCAAGAAGTTGACGCATGACTCCGCCCTCCAACATTTCCAGGTGATCGTCCTCCTCTCCGTTAATGGCAATCATAAGGGCCGAGCTGTAATCTGTAAAATTAAAAATAAACATCTAAAATATCGAACCTCTTGACACCAAATATCAATGCAATGCATCATCTTGAATAAACCTAATGATTATGAAATAACAAACTACGTCTAAGAAAAGGCTTAAAATTATATGTTTGTAAATATGCATTTTGGACGTTTTTATTTGCTGTTGAAAATTTGCATTATCTATGTTTTTATTTGCTATTTCTGTACACATTAAAGGAGTGTCTATGTCATTAAATGTTGTAACAGATTTTTTTTTAACTACAAAAGATGGTAGTAATACCAAAATAGCCAGGAGTCAGCAATACTGTATAATTTCCAACTAAATATATATAGACTAAATTCTTCAATCTTTTAACAAATGCCCTGACAGCAGAGTGTCCTAATATTGGTGGCGTGCTTATCAAGCAGAGTTTCACTGTACCAATAAACTATGATAAATGCATATTTTGAAACACTTCTTTTTAACCCATACCCTGCCCTCTATAGACAGGACCTGGCCTCAAGGTTATAAAACTTTTTTCTCAGTTCTGTCTCAAATCTCATGATTTTGATTGGTCAGTGAACATTTTTAGGTAATTTCTGACCAATCAAATGCCTGAGATCTGAGTTTGAGCTGAGAATTTCTTTATAACCTCCGATACAGGTATAGCATTCCCACTAACTGTGAGTACCATCAGGTCATTATCTTTTATTAGAATTTGCACTTTATTTGATTTATTGATTTTAAATTAGAAAATAGATATCAAATTTGTGTGTATTGTTGTAGAATACTGCATGGTTAGAGTTCAAATGTGTAGGAGTATAATCTATCCGCCTTCGAGATTAATTACAAAGAATTTGAACGATAAACCATGCATTATTTTACTATACAGTAATGCAAGAAAAGTTTGTATCTGACATCATTTGGTAAAATTTCATATCTGATGTTATATAATGTGTAAAGCATTTGTTTTTTATGCTGTCCATTTATAGTGTATGAACGCACTTGATTGCCCTTTTTGTTTGATAGGGAATATTGTGAGGAGTTTAAAAATTAATGGTATCACATTTTTTGTTTGAGAGTTAAGTTAATTTCTGAATTTCTAATAAAAGTTCTAAAATACAAATACACTATAATTATACAATCAATGTTTATGCAGAAAAATATTTTTTACTTTAAAAATTCATATCAACACTGGGTGCCATAGTGATTCATTTTGTTATCACAATACTTGTGGTACAAAATAATTTTTGTCTTGTGATTTTTGTTGAATAGTCTCAAAACTAAAGGACTCTCAGTGAGTTTAGTGACTTACTTGGCTCTCCATTTGGACTGATAGAATCTATTTCTGTGAGTGGATATGCTGAACAAGTTACATTACTATATCTCCAAAATACCTGAAAATGTACATCAACATATATAAATTATATTTATAAATATTTAAAACACAAGATATATTTTGGTACAGTTGTTATTTTCTTTTTTAATCTTGCGACAGAAAAGAGATGATTCTAAGAACAGAATCTGAACTGGCATTGCGGATTGTAACTATAAGAAACAGCCCCTGGATAAATTTTGAAATTCCTGTATAATAATGACATAATCCTTGGATAATGATGCTATCCTTAGATAATGACATCATCATCTGTGGATAATAATGCTATCATACTGCTTCCCATCCATGAATAATACTCGCATTCCTGGATAACTCTTGTCATCTTCGGAAAAAAATGCAAAAACAATTGCTAATTTCTGCATAATGGTAGCATTTCTGTATATTCCATCCCTGGATAATGTTTGTTATCCCTGGATAACTCTGGCATTCACTGTCTGGATAATGCTTGTGATCCAGATATAAAATACTTGCCATTCCTAGATAATGTTTGCAGTCCCTACATAATACATGCCATCCTTGTATATAATACTTGCGACCCCTGAATACTGCCTGCCACCTCTAGATAACATTAATTTTGTCATCTCTGGATATTGTTTATATGCCATCCCTGGATAAAATTAATTTTGCCATCCCATCTCTGGAAGTTGTTTGCCATCCAGAGATAACATATATGGATACTGTTTGCCACTCCGGAAAATCCTTGCCATCCCTTGATAGCATTTACCATTCCTTGGTAATCCTTGCCACCCCCCTAAAATCCTTGCCATCCCTTGGTAGCATTTACCATTCCTTGGTAATCCTTGCCACCCCTGGAAAATCCTTGCCATCCCTTGGTAGCATTTACCATTTCTTGGTAATCCTTGCCATCCCCAGAAAATCCTTGCCATGCCTTGGTAGCATTTGCTATTCCTTGGTAATCCTTGCCATTCTTTGGTAACATTTGCCATTCCTCGGTTATTCTTGCCATTCCAAGGATAATGCTTGCAATCCCTGCCTGTGCATTATTAGTAATTTTGTATATAGACAGACACAAAACCAGCTTTGCCATGAGTGAGAGTTTGACCTTCCTTGTAAAAAATCTCAAGGACAACAAGTATGTGATAATGGGAACATGGAGCATTTAATACATCTTTAAGAGAAACCAATATTTATGGCATTCATTGCTGTCACCGCACAGAACCAACTTCAAACAGCAATCCGACCATTCACCATCAATCAATACTCTTAATTAACCAATGATTTTTCTATTAATCTTAATGACAGACAATTCAATAATAAAAGATTGTTTACCATTTCTCACAAAGATCAATAGTTCAAAACTAAAGCATGATACACTCAACATTAAAAGCAAACATTCTTATCTGTACTGGAAGCCAGGAAACAGCAGAAAAAATATATAACACCAGAAAAAAGCCCGGAACCGACTTTACCAAATATAGAAACACAGCCCATTGGAATAATTATAGAAAACTTTGAGGAGGGTCGATCTTTAAAGCAGCACGCCTCCAGGTCTATACTAACTTTCATAAACATTTTAAAAATGCACAATGTATTAAAAAAAAAGTAAAAAGTTGTGAAGTGAACAAAGAAAATAACTGTCTCATTGGAACAGCACTTACAACCTATGTATATTACCAAAAACAGGTCAAAACATTGAAAAATAGCCCGTGCTGCCTTTGCTGCGGTAGTAAAACAATAGAAATACTGCAAAATCAATCATATTTGTTTAACTTTTACCCTAATGCTAACAAATAAATTTACCCAATAGGACCAGTGCAGACCAAAATCAGCCATCTAATTATGGTCTGCACTAATTGCTTCTCAATTAGTACTTATTTTGAAATTTTTCCTAAAGATGCTGACTGTTTTTGTGTAGATTAAAAGATGGTCATGTCAGTCTAAGTCATTTATAGCATGGTGTGGGTTACAATGGTCTTACATCTTCTTGTTGGCTGCCTAATTTTAGCATTGTACAATTAAAAGGTTCATGCACAACCAAAAAAACACCCCTGGAAATCTTAAATCATTTATTATTTAACCTTCATGTATATAATTATAGTTCCTTAGGTTAAAAACAATGTTGTAACAACTTGTTATTTAAATTTAAATTCCCAGGTTTTTTTTTTCAGTACTTCATGAATAATATGCTTAGGATTGTGGGTTTTAACTCAACATTGGACATTTTACATCTGGGGTGGACACCAAAATTTTTCAAAGCACTACTAGTAAACATGTGGCACATAGTCCTCATAAAAAAAATTTCAAAGCATTAATAAGCAACCAATATATTTTGCCAGAATATCAGCCAACTATATCAATTTGTAATTTCTATCCGAGTAAATGTATAACAAAAACATTTATTTTCAATAGTGAATACTACCTATTATCAGCTATAAAATCAGTAAAACACCGCCCCCTGCATATATAAAGATTCTGACATTATTCAAAAATCTAAACTGTCCAAATATAACATTATTTATCTCGATCCACATCAGTATCAAACAATTGCTTAGTTTCTATTTCTAAAACTAGACCAAGGAACTTCGCTATATACATTGTAACGACTTATTAATTTACCGTTAAACAAAAAGGTCAGAGCAATGAATTTGTTTAAGTGCGCTCAAATAATGACATCAATGGTATCGATGTACACCATCGAGAATTGATTTCATCAATCTTAGGTTATTAAAGTAACATAACAATAGCATCAGTTTAACAGAACAAATATAATTTTACCCATGTATTGAATATAAACTATTTCTGGCCAATCGCAGGGGTCAAAAACGGAAAACAGTCAAATTAGTATTTGTCATATTCCAAATAAATATAATAAGTTAACAATCATAGAAAAATTCTTTCTTGTTTATAATAATTCACTTGGGTCAAACAAACAGAGCTCTTAAGTAAAAAAAAAGACATTTTAGCTCTTGAAAAAAGTTGAAAGATAATCACACCCTCCAATTGTCACATTATTCAGGGACGGACAGATGGACACTAGTACAACAAACCCATTTAGATAATACCCAGTTTAAAGCTGGTACATGGATACAGATTTCTGAGTGAAGAGCTTACAACACTTTAGAAAAATTATCAATTGCACATTATCCACATTATTTATCATTCAAATTTAATGTTAAGATACTTTTAAACAGCCAATCTATTGTAAGAATTTGAACACCTATATTGAATATATACCTATATTGAATATATACATGTATCAAGATTGGTAGAGAAATAGACTATTCTAAACTGAAAAATGTTGTAGATGGGTTTCTTTTTAATTGTGTGCAAAACTTTGTCTGTTATATTGTACTTCTTCATTAGTTATGTATGACTGACCCTGCAATCAACTGCAACTGAGACTTTACACCAGAAAATCATTATTAACTTAGCTTCTTCACATATAAGGGATTTCAAAATCCATTGCAGGATTCAAACCAAAGACGGGTAAATTAATTAAAAGATTTATGAAAAGATTTATGAAACAACAAAAAATGAAGCTACCAACAGTATAGAGCCAGGTCAGAACTGCATACTGACGGCAAAGGCTGATCACTTTTTTAAGTTTGTTAAAAGTATAATGAAGTTTCATACACTGCTTTTCCAATGTGTTGACATTCAATTTATGAAAAATTCATGAGTGGGAGATGTTTAATTGGCCGACACATGTCAATCTGATATCAAACGAAACAACCAAAGCACTACTGCAAAATGCGTTAGAATCACAATTAATCAAACACGTCAGTCAAGCTTTCAGATTTGACAACATACAAATTTCCTTTAATACTCACAAATCAACAAAAAGCTTCTAGTGCAAGAAAGCAATAATCATGCAATCGATACCTATTTTTTATCTTGATTTACCAATACATTGCAATGTTATTGCAACGTTCAATTAAACCAAAGACTGTTCAATTAAACCAAATACTCTTAAATGGACTCAATTCCTTGTAACCAACACATATGGATAAAAACAATTTGCGTCACCAAGTACATCGGTTTGTGTATCTGCGTTGAGGGCAATTACACCATTATTTGCTATTCCCAATACAGATAGTGATCTGGTGCCGAGAAACATGTCTAAAAATCAATCACCGCCTATTGATCATTTATCGGCCACCAAGCTTACTCAAGTAATCACTGATTTTAATTACAGACAATATTAAACGAAGTTCGTTTGAGGGGGTATTTTCTATTTATTTGAAAAACCTTTAAAAAAAGGTTTTACATCCATGAGAATGTCCTCGTGTTTATTATGTATTAAAATGTGTTTTGTTTACTTCTATTATTTTCAACACTTATCCACGTAGTATAATTTAGTTTTAAACATATTTATTTTAGCTCAATTGTGAAGCAAGTTTGTAGAGCTTATGTGAATCACTACTATAACTCACATCACTGCTTCCATATAAAGAAATTAAACATGGAGGTAACAAGAGAGGAGACTCGGACCCACAATCTCTGGGTTGAGAGGCAAACACCACATCTTTCCCATAGCTATACCATTTCTACCCTCTCATATAACCAATGCATGTGTACCAGTTTTCCAAATTTTACAATTGTATTAGATACATGTAATGCTACTAATTGAGGCCAAATACACGACTGAAAAAATAAATAAATTGAATTGCCTCTCAACAAAACAGTTGTCAATATCTAAATCAATTTGTTAACTTCTGATCAAGATAATTAGGATCAAGTGATACCACATTTTTTCCTGCTATATTGTTGAGCTTAAGGATTTAATAATCTTTTTATCTTTCTTTTTTTATAATTACTAAATGATTGGATAGAAGTATTGACACATTAAAAGACTAGAAATGTGTCCATAGAATCAATCCCGCTCCCTCGCTTACTACTGTGTTGTCAGTCTTAGTAAGAACAGCATGTCAAGCAAGGGAAAATCCCTAATCAGTCCTCCCCTGTAGGATGTGGTAAGGCCTAAAGAAATTCAAACTGACATCTTCATTTCATGGTACTTCATTTCAGGGCATCTCTACATAGAACCAAAGATGCCACTTGGTGCTTCACTTGAGGGCACCTCTTATTTGGGACCAAAAAAACATTTGGTGCTTTATTTCTAGACCCCTCTACGTAGGACCAACAACCTTTGCAAATTAGCTGAATTGTAACTTAATGACAACATAAATCTTACATTGACAGGAAATAACCGGCATTATATAAATACACATGATTATTTATATGTACTTACAATACTGTTTAATTCTAAAATTTCTTTAAAGAGTCTATGTCGTCCTAATTTACTGGCAAGGGCTAGCGGAGTTAAGTTTTCATTATTAACAATATCACGTTGAGCTGGCTTCTTATGATGTTTCACCATATACTTGTACATCTCCTGGAATAAAATATTCAAATACTCTTCAAAATGGAGTCCAAAAATATCATCAGTAAAAATACAAATACTCTTCAAAATGGAGTCTAAAAACATCATTTGTGAGAGATACTCATCACAAAAGATGTGCTCTCTATAATGAAGTTAGTGGAAAAGTATACAAGAAATGGATAATTTTCTAAATAGAGGTCTAAACAATTAAAAGTACAGAAAACTGATACTCTTCTATAAAATACAATGAAGTTAGAATATAAAATAGGAAAAGGTTTACTCTTCTAAGTAGAGGAAGAAAAATATTTAAATAATGTTACTTATCAGAATAAAAGTTAATATATGAATTGTGCTATAAAGTATATTTTATTAATGCAAAAGAGAAAAACAAAACAGCCTTAAAAGAGACAAGATAACAATGTTTGTTAATTGCTACTCAAAAGTATTCTCCAAACTAAAAGTAAAAGTTTAAACAAAGGCAACATTCATCAAAAATATCAACTAAATATCAATAGATATTTCAAAGGAAATAACAAAGGAGCTAACTACCACAAGCTCTCACAGATGTAAATCCAATTACTTAATTTTTTTGAAATCTTTGATCCTCTCAATCAACTTTTATCATGTAAAAAAATATATTTATGAAAAAAAAAGATAATTGCAAAGAAAGCATATCTACCATGCTCTTTACAAAAGCCTTGACCTTTATCTAAATATCTAGGTCAATTCACTATATTTTTGTCAACTATGACCTTGACTTATTGACCTCAAATTAAATTATCAAGCTCTTCAGGCATCAGGCTAACATGTAATGACTATAACTTAAAATTAATAAAACAATTATCTTAAGTTATCTCAATGTTTTTACAAAGACATGTGACCTTGACCTAGATGTCTTTAAACCTTGCACTTTTAACTTGTAATGTTTCAAGGACATAATGTGCCAAAGAAACTCTGCAAAGTGACAAAATAAAATTACCTACTTAAATAAATATGAAAAAAACCAAAAACATTTTTATGATAAATATGACTGTAAAAATTAACATATAACATATAAAAAAACAACGAAAACCAGGTTTTCAACCACCAAGTTTTGATGTGACAGCAATCAATAGGTCAAACTGTACTAAAGTTATTGAGTAGAAGCTGAAAATTCTATTGTAAGCAAATGACCTTAACCTTGCTCCTAGATATCTAAGTGGCAATCCAAAGCTGCCACACAGCAAGTTTGGTGTCAAAAGGTCAACGCAAACTCAAGTTATTATGTGAAAACTGAATGCATCAACCTTGATCACAGACACCTGGGTAGCAATCCAAAGCTGCCTCTTGATATTAGCTACCCATACATCAAATTTAGTGTCAATAGGCCAAAACAAACTCAAGTAAATGAGCCAAAACTGAATTTCTATTTTTAGTAACAGTGACCTTGACCACTGACACCTGGGTAGCAATCCCAAGCTGCCTATTGATATAACCTACCCATACATCAAGTTTGGTGTCAATAGGCCAAAGCAAACTCGAATTATTGAGCTGAAACTGAATTTCTCTTTAAGAAACAGTGACCTTGACCTTGATAACAGACGCCTGGGTAGCAATCCCAAGCTGCCTCTTGATATCAGCTATTCATACACAAAGTTTGGTGTCAATATGCCAAAGCAAACTAAAGTTATTCCTAAGCTGCCTCTTGATATAAACTATCCATACACTAAGTTTGGTGTCAATAAGCCAAAGCAAACTGAAGTTATTAAGTGGAAAACTGAATTTCTATTTTTATTAACAGTGACCTTAAACCTTGATCACAGACACCTGGGTAGCAATCCCAAGCTGCCTCTTGATAAAAGCTACCTACACACCAAGTTTGGTGTCAATATGCCAAAGCAAACTAAAGTTATTAAGTGGAAAACTGAATTTCTATTTTTAGTAACAGTGACCTTGACCTTGATCACAGACACCTGGGTAGCGATCTTGAAGATCTTGAAGAAAACACCAGAATTGTCTGATGTATGGTTTTGGAATTATCCTTTAATTTCATGTTAATATTGTACAAGTTTATGTACCCCCTGAATTTTTATTTTACCCCCAGTTTTCAAAGGTAAGGTGTAAAAATACCCCTAATGAAAAATAGAAGTGGGAACACTGCTCAAGTTATTGTGCAGAAACTGAATTTCTATTTTTAGTAACAGTGACCTTGACCTTGATTACTGACACCTGGGTAGCAAGCCCAAGCTGCCTTTTGATATAAGCTATTTATACACCAAGTTTGGTGTCATTAGGCCAAAGCAAACTCTAGTTATTGAGCGGAAACTGAATTTCTGTTTTTAGTAAAAGTGACCTTGACTTTAATCACAGACACCTTGGTAACACTTGATATAAGCTACCCACACACCAAGTTTGGTGTCAATAGGCCAAAGCAAACTAAAAGTTATTGAACAGAAACCCAAAGTTGACGCCCGCACGCCGACTTCGGCATTACAATAACCCAGTATATAAAAATTGTTTACGATGTCAAAAAAGAACATAGAACAAATCTAACAACATAAATATAAATGTATATAATACTCTGAAAATAAAAATAAAACAATGTAAAGCACTAGATAGGACCAGACATTATCAGATTCAACAAACACAGATCATTTTTTGTATAGTACTGTAAGAAAGTGATGCTGGACAAAGGGTACATTTAAACAAAGCACAATTAACTACATAATCTACAGTACCTCGCACTTCTGCATGGTGAAATGAATTATTTCATTATTTGACAGTACTAGTAGAATTCAAAACTACATCAGTACATAAAATATAAGTGATAATTGAGCCCCGTCATGACAAAACCAACATAATGCGTTTGTGACCAGCATGGATTCAGACCAGCCTGCGCATCCGCACAGTCTGATCAGGATCCATGCTGTGCGCTTACAAACCCTATAACAAGTAGAGAAACTGATAGCAAACAGCATGGATCCTGATCAGACTGCGTAGATGCTCAGGCTGGTCTGGATCCATGCTGGTCGCAAACCCATTATGTTGGTTTTATCATGACGTGGCTCATATATACATGATCTTATACTGCACATTTATAATGTTGCTTTTCATTGGATAGTCTTGATGTATATATAGTTTTATATATACTGCTGTCAACTTATAAAGAAATCACATTTTTTTCTTTAAAAAAAGGAAGTTTGCTGTATTATAAATTCTTCATAAAGATTCCTGACAGGTTATATGGCCATATATAAACGGTTGCTAGTAAATTAAATATCCAAACAACTGTTTATATCAGGCGATATAATTTGTCAAAAAATCTTAATAACTAAATAACTATAAAAATATACATTTAATTTGTGAAACATCAAAATTACATGTTCTTTCATCATGCTTAGTCTTTGCTACTTGTATATACTTTATATTACTTCAAGTTTTATTTTATCAAAATATTAAGATGATAATAAAAGTTTGTTTTTTTCTGTTTTTTTTGTTTTTGTTTTCTTGTTTGCTTCTTGAGATGATACAAGAGAATAGTCAAGTTCCAAATCTCTTGCAGTGTTTGTCAAAATGGTGAAAAAGTTCACAATTTGTCAGCTTGTCAGCTGTCACAAATCCAACCCAACCTCTCCCCCCTCAATATTTTCATTTACCTTATCTCATGACTAGAATTTGCAATTTCCTAAATTCTCAGACCCAAACCACATGTTCTCAAAAATGTGGAAAAGTAAAAACCGTTATGACACTGATAATTATATAAGTTACTTTTATATACAGTTATTATATGGAAATGAGGAGAATATAGCACTGGCTAATGCAAATAATTTCTTAGCTAAAAAGCACTTTACTGTACAGTGGCCTGAATGAGATCTAGAACATACAGTAACCTGAGACAATAATGAAAGGAGGTAGCTGTGGTGGTATATTAGGTAAATTAAATATAATTGCTGCTTAAAACGTCATTCCAGCATTTTTTTTAACCAATGAATGTTTAGATTAAACAAACTGCACACAATGGTTACAATCGTAGCTGCAAATTGTTTAGGTTTTTTGGCAATTTTCCAGCTCTTTCTGTCAGTGGGTGCCATTCTATACATATTATTTCAGATGCACTGTAGCAGCAACGGGTTGAACGACCAACAAATTCTGAATACAGTTGATTGACTTTTTCATAATGAACAACATGACTAATAAGTAATTTCTGTAGTAAATTGTTTGTTTGTTTGGTTGATTGGGTTTTGTTTAACACAGACACAGAAAAGGTCATATGGCGATGTTCAGGTTTAACTGGTGAAGGAGGACCTCAGGTGCCCTTCTAAGCATTATTTCAGGCACGAAAGGGAACCTTTGTAGAACCAACGAAGTTCCGTAAGATAGCTGGATAGCTTCCTCACATGACAAAATCAAAAGTCCCTGTCAGGATTCGAACCCATAGCGATGAGTGGTTTGAAGTCAACAACCTTAACCACTTGGCCAAGGACACTCCAATGTTTATAATGAACAAGAATTTGTAACAGAGTTACCAACGTCCCCCGCCTCGGGGAATTTTTATACGAAGCATAAAATTGTGCTATTTCAAAAGATTAAAATGAAACACAGAATTTAACAAGGGTAAATCTAAATGCCCGCCACTAACGTGGGGGCACAAAAATTCATCATGTAAAGCTTTGACCTCTAAGTGTGACCTTGACCTTGGAGGTAGGGGTGCAGGTGTTATGCATGACATATTGTCTTAATATTGTAACTATTTGTGCCAAGTATTTTCAAAATCACTTGAACAATGAAGAAGTTATAGATCGGACACAAAATAAACCCTATAACAGACTATGTAAATCTTTGACCTCTAAGTGTGACCTTGACCTTGGAGGTAGGGACACAGGTGTTACGTATGACATATTATCTTATCATTGTGACTATTTGTGCCAAGTATTTTCAAAATCCCTTGATCTATGAAGAAGTTATGGACAAGACACAAAATATACCATATAACAGATTTTTATTAACCTTTGACCTCTAAGTGTGACCTTGAC